TTGAAATGACTATGTGGTTAAAATCTTGAAAAAGTTACATTGCAGCTTTCAAACCATTTTAAAATTTAATCTAAATTCTATTTTAAAACTGATGAAAAATTTGCTAGAATGTCTAAAAATCCTAATGGAAGTGTGATTAGATCTATTATGTATTTAATGGTATGTATTAGACTAGATCTTGCTCATAGTATTAGCTACTTAATAGATTCACGAGTAACCCTAGGGAAAAAACATCGGAATGCTTAGAAATGACTTTTAAGATATCTGAAAGGTACTTTAGATTTTTGTGTTTTGTATTTAAAATGAATAAAGATGAGATAACTTTAAAGGGTTTTACTGATTTTGACTTTGTTGAAAATAGAGATAATAGAAAATCAACTTCATCCTATTTCTTTACATTATGTGGTATATAATTCGTTGAAAATCTCAACTTCAAAAGGTTGTGGCATTGTCCTCAATTGAAACAGAGTATATTGCTGCTTTTGATGCTTTTAAAGAATGTATTTGGTTGAGTGGTTTGTTGAATGAACTTGACTTTGTAGATGAAAATGCAATTCTGTTATCAAATAACTAAATATAACTTTATTAGAGATATTATTTCAAAAGAAATTTTGAAAATTGGTAATGTTGCTACCTAATTCAGTCCTTCAAATATGGGAACAAAAATAGTACCTTTAAACAAATTTTAAAACTATTTGAAGTTATTAACTTATTATATATTGATACTTTGTAATGCATTAACATGTACTCAGAACAAATGAAAAATGAAATTGCTAGTATTGCTCTTGGATACACTTTTAGGTCCCAAATTTTTGGTAGCAAGATATAGATTGTTGAGGCTCGAACTTGTGATCTATGATGTGCTCTCAAAATTTGTTGAAAGACACATTACTAAAATGCAATTCTTCTAGTTGGGGCGTTTTTACTGGATTGTGACGTGTTTTCATTGTGGCCCTTCATCTGGCATCCGAATGGCTCTAGATTTATGAGTTGTGTTGTTTCACTTGGCAATTTACTTCTTCAAGCTATTGAGTTCTATGAGAGAGAAAATATGTCTTCCTTCAGTGTTAGAGTTTTCGTTCTATGGTTTATTCTCATTTGAACTACTCATTTGAGATTGAGATCTATTTTCAGCCATTGATATTTGTAATATTCTGAGTGAATACTGTGAGAATGAGAAATTCTTGAAGTTGTATTTTAAGAGGACGCGTATGAAGTATATTGGGCGATTCTTCTTAGATCTCCAGTTTTTTTTGTTGAAGAGATAAGTGTTTTATACCTCTCTCTTATATTGGAAGAACTCTTGTAACATTTGTTGTCATTTTTGGGCTATCTAATGCAACCGAGCATATATCCAATTTATTGGATGCTCAACAGGGGATTAGGCATTAAAAGTCGTTACCGAACCTCTGGGTTTTTGGTCAAAAAATTCATTATGTTCAATCTTTAATCTGCAAGTTTACTTTCAGTCAAATTATGATTATTTTGTATTTTGTGTTTAAAATCGTGTTATCTGGGCCTTACAAATGGAAGGTGTATGAAATTGAATAAGCAAAGTTGCGGGTTATTGCCCCAGTTTTAAAGAACTGCTTCCATTGGACCTGCCATAGCATGAAATGTGGATTAATTAGTGACTAATAAATGTTAATGCTTCATATGTAAAGGCTTTTTCCACTTTATTTGACAACCATTGTTGTTGACATCAGGGCGGAGCTACATAGAGGCCAGTGCGGACTTGACACGAGAAACTCCAATGTTCCTACACTGGACTAAGAAGAGAAGAAGAAGAAAAGGGAAGAAAGAAGAAGAGAAAGTGTGCCTGGAGAAAACTTGCATTTGACCAAGAAGAGAAGAAGAAAAAGAAGGAGAGAAGAAAGAGAAAAAGGAAGAAAGAAGAAGAGAAAGTGTGCCTGGAGGAAACTTGCATCCGACCAAGAAGAGAAGAAGAAAAAGAAAATGGAAGAAAGAAGAAGAAAAAGTGTGACTAAAAGAAACTCGCACTGGAACAAGAAGAGAAGAAGAAAATGGAAGAAAGAAGAAGAGAAAAGAGTGCCTGCAAAAGAAGTGTGAAATTATTAGTGAGTGCAAGTGTGACTTATTTAAATGCTAATTTTAAGTTTGACTTTCCTAAAATTAAGTATTAAATTGATAAGTGATATTTTTTCATGATAATAATTCATCAGTCCTTTAAAAAAAAAAAAAAAGATTAATCAACTATTAATTGTATTAATAATCTTAAATCAATGTTATTTTACTGGGTGGGCAGTGAAGTGTGACAAGAGAGACTTGAGTGTAGGGATGCCAAAAAAACACTTTAAATTTGATACCCTCAGAGTCCCATCTCAGATGGGACGAAAATTACTTGCCTAATCGGGTAAACGGGACGAGGACCGTTGCCTTGAAACAGGTATTGAGTACAGGAAATATGAACTACTTTTCTCTAGGACTCTGAGTTGATCACGTGAAACTCTTTTAGTTCATAGATTAATTTTGACCAACAAAATCACCGTAGCCGATACCTAAAATTGTGTCCGCATTGGACAAAATTCCTGACCCTGTCCGTGGCTGACATAGTGACAAATCCCATTGTTTCCTAGGGAAAAAAGAATACAATATTTCCAATACATTGGGATCTATCTATGCAGATAAATCACTGGATTGCACTTTGTATTAAGGCCAAAATCAATGCTTTCACTCTTTTTCCGTCGGGAAGGGGGAATGCAGTGCTGAATATTTGATGCTGACATCCACCAGAGCAAATGATAAAAGGATGACGGAAACAGATTTTATTCTGTAACGTAATCCAAAATATTTGGTTGTATCGCTCAGTACAATTGAATGTGAGTAGGCCATTTCTTTAGATTTTGCTCTTCGAGAATGTTTTCGGGCAAGTGGATTTCTCTCGTATCTGTTTCCCGCAGGATAACAATAAGAAAAGCATTGCAGATAATCAGGAATCTTAATAGTGTGAATCATGGAAGACTTAAGGATACTAATATCAGTCTCTGTATCATTTCAGTCGAGTCAATCTTATCCCAATGGGGCCATTTGAACGTTAGTCTTTAGCCACAGTCAATGCTTGACAGAAAAAATAATGAGGCAAAATTCACCTTTTTAATGATTTACACAAGATTAAACAACCATTTTACTAAAATGTTGCTGCAGATACTAGAAATCATTCTTACAAATCAACGGGCGGTAAGGACAAATTTTAGAGGGTTTTCTTCTAGCTTATATCATGGTGATTTACTCACTGAATCTCAAAGCGCTTCATAGTGCACCTGCTTCACTCCATCCATCATTCTCAAAAATCTGTTACCTGATTCACAAATGTGGATAAAAGAAATTTCACGTGACAAGTTACGGCCTTAAAAAAACTACAACTAGCCAAACCAATGTCACAATTTACTCACAAACTTTAAAATAATTCCCAATGATAACTCATCTTTGAAATGTTGCACTACATCATCCACATAGATTTTGTTCCCTCCATTGTTAGCGTAGTGCACGAAAATCTTACTTGACAAGTTACGAACGTTAAAAAATTTACAACTCGGCCAAACCATTAACCTACCAAAATCACCATATGTGAAATGCGATTTCCACAACCCATAAACTTCTTTAAGCCCCAATAATGAATCCCCAATTTAAATCCTAGAAAACCCTAACCCTCAATTTGCTCATCTCACTCAAGTACAGCTAAATTGTGTGTTGAGACAAAACCGATTGTTGTGAAGGACGCTAGAGCTACTAATTATAAAGCCTTATCCCTTAACTGTACAAGCTGGTCGACGTTTCTCTAATTCTAATCTTCCATTCTTGAAGGCATGTGCTGAACTATTTGAAGAATGTATGTCATTGAACTTTGGCTAAATTGATGAACAAAGAACAACAAATACGGACGGAACCCATAAGGTATTTCGCCGTGCACCAATTGTCAGAGTTCAATAACATTTCATTCCTCAAATAGTTGGATACACACTTGGGAAAGTGGAAGATTGGAAGTAGAGAGACGTTGAGCATATGGTACAATTAGGGGATACGACTTTATAAGTAATAGCTATTCCCATCCATCTCAACAATTGGGTTTGTCTTATTATACAATTTAGCTGTACGTGGATGAGATGATTGAATTAGGAGCTAGAACCTTTTAGGATTGAAATTCGGATGCTTTATTGAGACTTAAAGAAGTTTATGGGACCATGAAAGTCACGTTTCACATATGGTTATTTTGGTGAGTTGATAGATTGGTTGAGTAGTAATTTTGTTGACGATCGTAACTTGCCATGTGAGATTTTCATGCAATAAGTTAGCATCGAAGTAATTGAAATTGGACAAATAATGAATGGAGTCCAGCCTCTCAAACATGAGTGACCATTAGGAAGCATTTTGAAATTTGATGAGTAAAATATAACCAAGTTGGATGAGTAATTAAATATTGGTTTGGTTGAGGTACTAAGTGGATCTTACTTTTCTGCGTTCATATTGAAAAGTGGAAAGTCCACTTCTTACTTTTCTGTGTTCATATTGAAAACTGGAAAGTCCACTTCTTGGATTTGTTCACTTAAAAAATTCATCTGATTTGTTGGCTAGAGAAAAATTAGGGCATGAATGGGCCCATTTTAGGGTTCCTATTTAATCAAGAATGGTAAGGTTTCTAATTTGTTTAAGCAGACATTAGGTGATTAGTAAAGGCACTTAACATTCAACTATCAAATGCAGTATAACAATTAGTCTTTAATTTTCCTCTTTAACTTTTTCAACCATGTCTTCATCACATGCCTTATAGTCTAGTATATTTCACAACAGTTATTTTTTTTTTTAGCTCTTTATGTTTTTCAATATAAGATATAAAACCGAAGCATCCAAACAGCAGTATCTAAAATCTTTATTTCAGTTATCCATGGGGTAAGACTATTTCACAACTAGTTATTTCATATTAATTACAAGTGCTTAACTAACTTGCAAGAAGAAGAATGTAGTAATAGAAAGTCCTCACACGATGAATACCAAAAAATGCATTTCAGAACAATTTTCACTACTGAATACACAAAAAAACAAGAATTGCCATAAAAGGAAAGAACTACCCGAATCAGAAGGCTAATCTGTTTGATTTCTCGTTTTACTACTGCTCCTCAAAAGCCACATAACCAAACCAAATTATGCCAATAGCAAAAATTTACTTACCACAATAATTGATCCTACATCAAAACATCTAGATCAAGCATTAGTTAAAAAAACTATGCATTAACCTTGACTGGTTATCATTCATAATTGTTGTCATCTGAGAGTGAACAACTAGGAATTGCAAAGAGGGTCATTGTTGCCAAAATCCTCTTCCATTGAAAATTTGTTCTTGAACTTGAAAAGTCAAACTTCTCAAGTGATAATAATTGCAGTCAATTCACTCATTCATAGCTAGCTTGCATATTGGGAAGTGTCAGCCAAGTTAACAGGAAGTGAAACAACAGGCTGATGTTTTTCCAACGGAAAAGACCCTGACTTGGTAATCCTATCATACTTATCACTTGCATTTGCTTCACTTGGGCTCATTATTTGCAAAAGTGGTAAAAGAGATGGAAATATTTCAAGTCGTGTGACATGCCGGTTTCCCTATAAGACATTTCAAACTTCTGTCAACTGATAGAAACAACTAAAAGAAACACAAGATCAGAGATCTTATTTGTTTCTTTTGTTCATAAGTTCAGTGTTTACCTCAGCCTCGACTATGAAATGTGCCCATATCTTAGTTTCACGAATTTCCATCGATCCCTTCAAGATGATCAAGCCAAAACCTCGAATTATTTTAGCAATCTCCAAAATGCAACCCTGTTCTTCAAAGAGGATCTGCAGCAAATAAAAAATGTAGAGTTGAAGTGGTTAAAATTAACACTATAAAGATGTGTTGTTGTGTGGATGCAAATATTACTGCATTGTTTCACTTACCTCTATAAGCATTTGGCCTGGGGTGCTAAGGTCCTCAACTACCAGAGGACAAACCATAGTCTGATCACCAACTTCACATGCCCACGTAACTCCACCACTACTACTGCTGGAGTTATCATTCTGAGTAAATGTATGTTACCCAAGTAAGTGAACGTTCGAAATAATTCCACATTATATCCATTTTCCAAGTAATCAAGGTAATGTGGTAAAAATAACATAGAATTTTACCTTTAACTTATCAGTAAGTTTAATAGTTTGTCTGGTGAGACTTTGCATGAAATTCAGGAGCCCAATAGTTTGTTCCAACAAACGATCAATGCTCATCTGTAGAATCAGCCCATTGCAAGTCAAAAACTAATATACGCAGCATGATTTCAGAAAAAAATATTTATGTCTGGAGTCATTTTTAAATGATCAATTCTTTCATATTCAAAAACCTTTTCTCAAATGGAAAAGAACATTCCATTTCAATTTTGTCTCTTTTTCTAAGGAGAAATAAAAATTTACTTACCTTGTCACCATTGGGAATGAGTTCCCTCAATTCTGCAAAACGATCTTGGATCTGTTGACGATCTTTTGGCCTGGGACGAGTTCCTGGTTTGGCCTTCTTCTTCACAGCATGTATTTTTTCATTCCTCATTGCTGAACAAGAGTTTCCAGTATTCATGCAAGAGCTATCACCAATCAACGAACCAGCTTCTTTTGTGGAGGTTCCATTATTAGGTTCAAGGATAATTATTTTGCAGGGATTATTTACAGGTTTAAGAGGTTCCATTTTCCCATCAAAGCTAGGAAAACCTTGAAATTTCACTTGGTGCTGTTTCTGCAAGTAATTCTCAATTTTTCTTCTTTTAGCACTGGATGATACTTGATCTTTAAATTCCGATACGGAAACTGATGAAGAGCAACTAGTGACGCCGTCAAAAAGATGATGGTTAAGTCCTAATTTAGAGAACAAGTTGTTATTTGTCTCAACTTTCGATCCAGTATATTTATCTGAGATGCATTTCGAGTTATCACTAATCACAACTGGCTTCGGGTCTTCATTAGAATCTTCTGGTCTTTTACACACAAGATCCTCTTTAAAACTGTAAAACAGCTCGTCAATGCCAGACATTTCATTACATTTCGTTTTTCCTTTACAATAAAATGCATTACTGATTGAACTTTGTAATGAATTGGACAGACAATTTCCTGAAATGTTTGTAGAGTTGTGTCCATACAAATTGGCTACTGGGACCAATCCTGGGGCATGTGATAGGCTATTACAGAGTATCATAGCTGATGAAGTAATGATTTGGTCTGGCAGAGGAGAAAACCACTGAGAAAGGTGATCCACAGGGGACGTTTTAGAGACGGCCATTGCAGAATCATTACCCTCAAATGTGGATAAATTAGATGATCTCTGACCTTTACCATCAATTGAATAGAGTAACATTGTAGAATTTTGATTATTCGACAAATCTTCAGAGAATGGTTGAGAGTGCAATGAAACAGAACTGCTTGTTTTTGTGAAAAACGTGTTGTTCCTCAGTTCACATGGCAAATCATGCCAAGATGAAGTTAACACAGAATCCCTTCTTAAACTGCTAGGTGCTTCAGTGGAGAAATCAAACCAAGTAGCAGACTCTAGAAGCAACTGCTGCAATTGAATCTCATCCTGGGAAAGAGAATATGTAGAATCAATGGTATTCACGAACTGGTGGTCTGAAGCAAAAGGATAGGAATGCGGGAGAATTACTGACGGATGACTTGCATCTTCCAAATTTGCATATTCTGAACCACATTGAATATCGTGAATAGAAGAACTCCCATTTGATGCCAACGAAGTGAACGGCCTACTTGTATCAAAAATCTTGCTATCTGAAGATGAAGTTTCATTTTCCGATATAATGGATCTTTGACCTTTATCCATTCCTCTAAAAGATTCTTTTACTTGATCGACAAATTCCTTTGTTTCTGGAATCTGCAGTAAAGAATCTATGCTGTCAATAAATAGACACTCTGCACAACAGCATCTTACTTTCTCAAGTTGGGACAGGATAGCATATTTGATGCTTGAACTAACCTTCCGATTGGACCCAAATTGCACCACACCAAATGGTTCTACTGATATTACTGCAATCGTCTGCAAATTTAATTTGATTACATTCGACATCGATTGGTTCCTTGATTAACAAACTTAAACCATGTCTTTCGATGCATAAGCTAAATACTTTTCCAAATTAGATAAACTGACTGGAAAATAGGAAATCAAGTTAGGACCTTTATCTCAGTAGCAAACTGGCAATAGAACTCAGAATTATTCTGTAAAATGAAATTCATAATTACCAAATAAGCTACACGACTTTTAAACTTAAATCTAGAATGAAATAGCGTTATGAGGTAAATTACCTGGCAAACCTGACTACTCCCAACTGATTCCAAAGAATTTTTCCATTGATGACAGGAATCCGGGAACATCCATTGATGGTTTTTAGTTAATGCATATTGTCCAATTACCCTGCAACAGTATTAGACAATTCTATCAATCTTAGCACTGTCAATATAACACTTGAACTCTGAACTATTTTCCCAAAAACGAAAAAATAAAAGCAGCAAGATTCTGTTTGATAAAAATACTTCAATTCTATAGTTCTGAGCCATTTCTAGCTTACCCTCCCCCGACCACGTGAACTTGCAGAAGCATATCATCAATTGCAGCTCCCATTTGTTCTTCATAGTAGGCATCTTGTAATGTCAAGAATCTGGCATGGGGAAGAAGTTCAGGCTATGTGCAAAAATGAGAATCCTACAGTGTTAGGCTTAAGCATTTGTGCAACCAAATTACCAAATTTAAGGAGATATTAAAAATTTATGCATTATATCTAATGTTAAAGATGATGAAGGATAATAATAACACAAGGGAAAACAGAATCGAATCAGGGAAAGAAGCTATTTTAACTAGAGTCATTTTACAACTTAATCACCAAGATTTTAATGAGAAAATAGAGCAAGGGATAAAATAATCTATCCTTATTCTTTAAGTCTTATCTGTTAACAACAAAAATACCATAAAAACTTAAAACGAAAATACAAAATAAGCATAAACTTACAAGGAATTTCTGTGATCAAAACCCCAGAAAATTCCATAAGACCATCCATTACTGCAACAGAGACTCTTGAGGATGTCTTTTATCATAGAATCACCCTTTTGTGTACACATTTTATATAACATAAAAATCCAAGAATGCAGCCCTCAAACCCCAGAATCACTGCCAGTGCCAATCAACTGTCTACCGCGAAACATTTGTCTTGTAAAAATACAATTACAATTACAATTTTTATTGCAGAAAATGAAGGAAAAAAAGGCCAGAAAGAAGCACCCGGTGGAAGCAAAAGTATCAAGAAATGGAAAAGAAGCAAAGATCATTTTCGTAAGGAAAAACAATTAATGGTGCTCAAAGAAAGTGTTCCAACTTGCAAACAAAAATAGTAGTGCAGTACCAAGTTTTTCATAACAAAAGACGATAATAAAAACAGAAAGACGGAAAATTATAAAGTTGTCAGCTGAGAGAACACGATAAAGATAGAGGTTCAACTGCAACCTGGAGGGTCCTAACGTCCTGCCTATGAAGGGAGCTAAATGGTGAAATATGTTCCAACATGCTAAGGAACGAGACTTGCCATGCTCGTAAAGAATATAATTCCGTATCTCAAGAATCGAACTTTCACACTGCGGTGCCAGTAAAATTAAGACTACTTTACTCTTGTTTTTTGTACTACTAAATTATGCCGTGGGGGCAAAGATAGCACCTAAGGTGGATTTAATAAATGGATAGAGAGAGATACAAACACAAATTTACTGATATTGATAGGGGAGGACAATGGGTCCGTTTAGTCTATGCAAGAAAGACCGAAGTCAGATGAAGTCTCAGATTTTCCCATTTATGTATACTTATAAATTGTCTTTATGCACATTGAAAGATGTGTTTCTCAATAACACCTTGAAAGGTGCTATTTATGTAATTCGATTTTGCCGTCTAGTTGGACTATTGGGCCCACGTGGCAACCTCCTAATGGTGGCTTCTCTTTGACAAGAATTATGCATGTTGAGAGATTTTGTGGACAGTTTAATCAGATCAACAGCTGAGGTTTATTCACAAGCCCTTGTTTGGCCCCCATTTTGGGAAATGAAAATAGGTGGAATAATATTTTTTTGAAAAATAAATGATTAAAAAAGAAAGAAATTTTTTTGATTTACGTATAATATTATTTTATGAAAGATTGTGTGATTGAAAATTGAAGAAAGAAAAATGAAATGTAATAGAATTAAAATTAATAGGGGCCTATGCCTCTTGACTTGGCCGACGGTTTATTCAGTGTGAGAGATTATGATTTTGAATTCTGCGTTCTTCTTTTTCTTCTTTCGTCCTTTGTTCGTATCTTATGATTAAAATTGGTTTTGATGTACTCTTACTATCTTTGAAAGCTTATTTATGCACATAGTGGAATGGATTAGTCTCTGAGTCTCCTAAATTAAGCATTTTGTTGAACTTGGTGAATAATCGTTTGTGTTCTTGTGTTCTCGTGCATTTATATCTTGATATTATCAACTTTTTTTTTTTTTTTTGAAATCCTAACACCTATAATATCTTTGTTGAAGATTATCAGCTTTGGGGTCCCATTTGCAATTCCTGTGTTTTTCACATACTATTTTGACATCCCATTTATTATATGTAGTCCCCTTTCTTTTTATCCAAAGAAAATTATGGTAAAAGCTGTTTATAAGGATGTTCTACTCTTGATGGTAGGTGAACATTTAATAATAATAATAATAATAATAATAATAATAATAATAATAATAATAATGTTTTGTGATGTTTTGTTGTGCTTCTAACTCTAGCTCAACTAAGGACCAGTTTCCACCTAGTTCTTTCCGATGGAAAGACTTAATAAGGATTGATATTCTCGAATTTATTCTATGAGATTGGTTGCATGTACAGAATTTCACCAGAAACACTTGGCAGTAATCTATCGAATAATGGCAAGAAAAAAAAAAGGATAGATGAACCAGATGCCACAGCAGCATTTGGTGGAATTTTGTGAACAATTCCTCTGTACAAGAGGAATTTTTGTTATTCTATTTGGTTTTTAGTTTTTTTGCAAGGAAAGTGAGGGACATGGTTCTTAATGTTCAATTGATGACAGGCTTACATTTAGCTACTTTCTTCAGTTGTCTATGCACAATGTACAGGAATTGCGCCAAAACGAACATGGAAAAATAAAATCACATCTAAATTTTAGATCTTAACCTAAAAAATTGACCTTTTTAGACCATCTCGAACTCTGCAACACAATTTGAGGTAAGTTTTAAACTAGTTTACATTAAATCTTGTACCAAACTAAAAAACATCTCCAACACATCACACTCAAACTTACACCAAATGAATAGTGTTTAATCATTTTCTTCATTTTTTTGATTCTTAACAATTTATTTATTTTAAAAAATTATTTATTTATTTTAAAACTGCATAAATTACTAAATAAATAATTACGTTAAATTAACGAAAATATTGAATTATTATTGATTACTAAATCATTCACTTGTTTTATGTATTACGTTAAATTGATGAAAATAAATGGTTATATTATTAATTTATTATAAATAGTCATGTTAAATTAACGAAAATAATACTAAATTAAAAAATCCTTAATTATTATTGATTATATTATTAAAAATAATAAATTCTAATAATAATATCATCATCATCATCATTATATTTTATTTCATTAAAAAATATATAACAAAAATGACACAAATACCCCTAATAAATATGTTTGGAAAATTAAAAAGAAGGGCAAAATTGACTTTGCATTATTTGATGTAAAATGGTGCAACATTGGAGGTATTTTGCCCCATAAAAGTCGACTACTTTTGGCCAACCCCTCGGTAGGTCAATCTACCAGCCATAATGATTGGTAGATTGACCCCCTCGAGTCATTGATAGTCCTCCTGATCTTTTTGACCCATCCGTTTTTGTTTCATGTTCCCTCAAAAAATCATATCAATTCTTTTAAATCTCCAACTTATAATTTTGAAATTATAATTTTGAAATTGGATGGGACCCGACTAGTAGGGTGATAGTCCTTGATATCCCAAAGGGACTTAGTTCTTATCATTGTTCAATCAAATTGGATCAACTGCTTGATAGATACACGTGCGTTGACAATTATATATAAAGAGCCCCTAGGCCTAAAGAAGAGCTTTTCAAATCAGATCCTATCGAGATTGTCATGTACAAAGATTATTTTAATGGATATTTCAGGTTTCCTCTTCTTTCTTTCTTTATCTCAATCTTTAACAAATTACAACTTACACCTACCCGAGTCACATAAATCCCAATTCATGGAGGAAAAGTGTTATACTTCATGTACCTTTATCTTAGCGAAAAAATTACGCCTTCAATGGAGTTATTCAGATGTGTTCTCAAGTTGTACAATTTACCCCAATATAACGCATTTGTCTACTTCACTACTAGGTTTCATTTTCGTATCCCTAAGTATAGATATTCTAATAGTGGGTGAAAGTCTTGGTTCTTCTTCGTTCGACCTTCCGAAGGTCGATTTCCATTCAATACTTATTGAAAACTTCCCCATATTTGCCTTTTTAATAGTCATGTTAAGCCTACTACTCTTTTGATATCTTAAATTCAATAGCTAACTTGTACCATTTCTCGCATCCCTTATATCTCAAGTTTTAACAAAAAGGAAGATGTTAACATTGGGAATTGGTCGACCTATTGGTAGTCCTTATTTATAGATCTTATTTTCGTATTGTAAGTCTTTCATTGTTAGCCTTTGTGCCTAATTAGCTTGGTTGTATGTATGCATGTATGAACTTCGACTTGGAATGAGTTATGAGCTCGCTATCAGAGCCTGAGCCTAAGAGTGATGAGGGGTTGTCCCATACTTTTCCTAAAAAAAAGAAAGGTCTTTAGCAAGAGAAAAGCAAAAGGCATTGACGGGAGCTCTCCTCAGCCATTAGAGAAGCCCAATGGAGCTATCCCTTCTCATAAAGTAGGAAAGGGCAACTCGAGTCCTGACAATTTCAGGTTTTGAGAGAGATGGTTCTCCACTTCCAACTCTTAGGTTTTCTCCGACTCGAGGTGAGCATGAAGCTGATATGGTCGATGCTTTCACCATGTCTGATCATGCTAGAGCTTTGTTTAGAAGCAAATTAGATGATATAGATAGGGTCTTGATAGTTTACAATAGAATGATATTCTTCTTGCTCTATGCCTTCATTTTTGTTATATTTATTCCTCTGAATTTGCCTGACAATTGTATTTTATTTTTCCTACTTGTTTGACAAGTTTTGACTATGCAAGCTTCATTTGTTGGGGCGAGTCGCCTTTTAACAACTGAGTTAAAAGCTATCAAGGACTATAGAGTAGGTTTTCTTGGTCCGGGATGTGGACATGATGTTACATTTTGCAACTATTATGGTTGATTTCTTTTTTAGAAAGTGACTCTAGTATGACATGTGTTCAATTTTCTTCCAATTTTTCTTTTTATTTGGCTAAGCAAACCATCACATGAGCATATTATGACCTCTCTTCAAATGTGTATAAGTTAGATAATCTATTCTCGAACAACCTTTTTCTAGACAGCATAGTAGTCGACGAGGGCGACGGCCAACAAGCGCATGATCGATTGCACAGTGGTCGAACTTCAACCCCTATGTTGTCGGCTGGTGCGTGATCGATCGTTATTTGGTTACATGCGCGCATGCACTGACCTCTATGCGGTCGACATAATTTCTGTTTTAGATAGTGAACCTTGATTTTCCAATTTTGATTGATAATTCTTGGCCTTTGATCGATGTTTGGTCTGTTGCTTGCTAGCCAATCTTTTGAATACTTTTGTAGTATATAGTTTGAGGTCCAATGTTCACAGTTCTTTTTGGTTTTGAACGCTCACTATTATGTTGTTTTGAGTTAACCATTTTTTTTGGTTTTGTTGCTTATCGCTTTTCGTCAAGCAATTTGGGAGTGTAGCACACAACCTATAGCAATCTTGAATCTTAAACCATTTTTCAATTTGGAGGCTTACTGCCAGACCATAGAGCAATCTCAAGCTAACCAATTTTTTGGTTTTATTGCTCGCCGCTATCCATCAAGCATTTTGGGAGTGTAGAGCATGAAGTTTAATGATTTTGAACCTTAACCATTATTTTGGTTTGTAGGCTCATTGCCAGACCATAGAGCGATTTTGAGCTAATCAATTCTTCAGTATTGTTGCTCATCACTCTATTGTAGAGCGATTTCGAGCTAACCAATTCTTTTGTATTGTTGCTCACTGCTTAGCCCCTTAGATGATTTTGATGTGTTGAGCTCATGTCTAGTGCTTTTGAGCCTTAACCAATTTTTTGATTTAGAAAGCTTAGCTAAAACTGCTGTTTGATTTTAACCTTATAACCAATTTTTTATTTTGTTGCTCATCGCTTAGTTCCTCGGACGATTTTGATGTGTTGAGTACATGTCTTGTGATTTTGAGCCTTCACCAATTTTTCGGATTTGAAAGCTCACCATTGAAAGTATAGAGTGATTTTAAGTTTATAACCAATTTTCTCGTAATATACATATCGCATGGATTTAGGATCACTTTGGAGATATAATATAATAATTAGAAATAAGAATAAAAGTCCAATATTTAATTAATTTGAAAACTGCCTAATTTTCCAAATTAATCATCAAGACCAGATTAGGATTAGGAACAGGGTCCACCTATTTTTTCTCTTCTTTAAAATTAATATGATTTTACCATCGATGAACACATACCACATTTGAATAGCAACGACGAAATGATCCAACCTCACTCCATCCATTGAGGATATAGAGAATATGGTTTTTGTCCGAACTTGTCCGACTATTATTTATTCTATATTTTTCAATAATAATATTTGAAAAATAAAAATATATTAATAAATAAGTAAAAGGAGCTGTAAATGTGAATTTATTTTATCGTTATTTCACTATTTTAATCGTCATTTTTTATTTCTTCACTTACAGGTGAGATTCACCTTTCTCTCTAACTGTCAAAAATTTAATTCTCAAATCACTACCGAATAGGTCCCTAGTATGACAGTCAATTAAGTAATTTACATTAATTTATGAGACAAGAAGTAACAAAATAGTGAATTAAAGTTTAATAATCCAATAAAAATTTAGTTGGACCAACCAAGCCCTTGTTTGGTCTTTAATATTTTTAAAATACTTTTCTGTCTCTCTTATTTTTAATCACATACTTTTCAATAAAATAATATTATACGTAATTCAATTTTTTCTTATTTTTTAATTACACATTCTGCGTAAAATCATTATTATAAAAAATAATATATTTTTGACAAAAAATATAAATTACAAGTATGCGAGCCTCTCGCAGGTCCCACTCAAAAGAGCCAAATTAATTGGCTTGAGCCGTTGAATGATCAAATCCCTTTTTCAACCTTCTACCGCCCTAGTTGTATTCCCACAATTGTCATTTGCTTTTGCTTTGCATATGAATCAAATTCCTGCTACTCTTCTCAGCGTTAAACAGTTTCGATTCATAAATTTTGAGGAAAAGTAAGACAGTTGAATTATAAGGATCAAATTTGAAATGCCAAATTTGTATGTACGAGCGGTGCCGCCGACGGATCTGAATCGAAACACGGAGTGGTTCACTTACCCCGGCGTATGGATTACCTACATCCTAATACTGTTCTTCTCGTGGCTGATGGTGCTCTCTGTTTTCGGTTGTTCTTCCGGCATGGCCTGGACCATCGTCCACCTCTGCCATTTCATCGTAAGTTTTAAATTTATTCCATTAATTAACCGATGCCTTTTTTTCTAACGCAATGCAAATTCATTCGTTTATGTTCTGTGGAGATGTATGAATTATGATATTCTTTTATTATTATTTTTTTTTTTTTTGTTTTCTGAAAATAAAGTGAGAAAATTATTTATTGAATAATTGACGTTTCAACTTAAATATGTATATTGAAGGTGTAATTTACCACGTTTATTTTGGCTCTGGTCATTTATGATTGCTAGTGGAACTACATGAATAGCCAGTGGAATTCAGTAGTGTCGCCAAATTGCATGATGCAGAGGGGCTTCTATGGTGAACTCTACAGAATGGTGTACCTCGTGATTTTGTGGCATTTTTGGTTAAGGCAGAAAAAATTCTGTTGATTGAATATTTATGGATAGAATATTATAATGAAACTATAATAAGTACTAACAAGACACGTCGCTCATCAACGACACATTGATTAAATTCTTTAAACTTCTTCATTTATATGTATTAATTTAGTTTTATACTTACTATTAATTTTTCTTGTTAAAATCTTTTGAATATGAGTACCTATTTATTTTGTACTAATAATTATGAGTTAAAAATATATAATATTTCTAATAGAGATTGAAAAATGATATGAGGAATGTAGGTATTCAACATGTGTCGGACACGACATGCCACTCTAATTAAAGCGTTCGTGCAACAGAGTAGACAACTATGTTTTATGTTGAAAGATGAATGAATGGCAAGATTTAAAATCTTCGCTAGAAGCTAAATTAGCTCATATGCTAAATTCGTTTATGGATATAATATAATAATGAAAACTATAATAAGTGCTATGTCATGGTATATGTCACTTCTTTATAGGAAACTATGTTCCATTTTGAAAGATGAAGAAGCTAAATTAGTTCATAAGCAATTTCTTGGAAATTTTCAATTTTAGAGCGCTTTTGCTGTTTTTTTTCTTTCCATGCTAGAACTTGCATACATTTTATGCAATTTATAGTGCATTTTCTGGTTTACATTCAGGTTACATATCAGTTCTTTCACTGGAAGAAGGGAACACCATTTGCGGAAGACCAGGGTGTCTACAATAGGTTGACTTGGTGGGAACAAATAGAAAATGGCAAGCAGCTCACTCGCAATAGGAAATTCTTGACTGTGGTCCCTGTTGTGCTGTAAGTTATTTATTTTTATTCTTTTCAACAACTAATTCTTAAATTGGAGTTTTGGTGTATATTTGTAACTCCAACAACTTTGTTCTCGTAAAGTACTGTTGAAATCTATAACGATATTGGGGTTTGAACCAGTTCTTCCGTGCCTTTATAGATATAGGTACTGACATTGAGTCTATGCATGGTCAATAAAAATTATTCTAGTGTGTGTTTTGTCATTGCCATTATGCTTAAGGGTCATATCATCAATGCATTTGCTCCATAGAGGTTGAGAAACAGTCAGTATTCAGAATTGATATTCTGTTCGCCAACGGATGAATGTATACAAAACAAAGGTGCAAATTTTTTTTATAATTATTAGATATTCCTTGCATTTGCCTGTATTCCCGTGTCACATAGCTGGTCGAGATTGTGAATGTGAACCTACACCATGGCTCATAATGCTTTGAGATTTGATTTGTATACCCATGTAGATTGAATGATATGTTTAATGTCTCAATATCACAAATAAACTGTTTTTACATCTAAGTTCTCCACCATTCAAATGGAAGTTATATTTTCCACCGTGATAGTGTAAGCTGTCTATTACATGTTCTAGTTAGCAGTCTCGTAATATGATAGTGTTTCATGTATATTGTTATTTATTGCATACATGTGCAGCCCTCATTTTTGAAAATGGGAAGTTATACAGAACTTAGCAAATTTTTTTATGTATACGCATTGACATCTGTATTTTTTATTTCTTATTTTTTGGGTGGGGGTGGGGGGGTTCAATTTGTTTGAACTCTTAATGTAGAACATCTCAGTAGTCATAACATCCGGTGCGCATAACTTGGGAACTAGTGGTATCTGCAATAGATAACCAATTTTTCATCATTGGATATGATAAGCTTCGTATAAAAATGCTAAATACTCTCAATTCTTTGAAACTGATTCTGAAATGTACTGAGCCAGCATCACAAAATAAATTCTGGTACTTGGCCTTAAAATGTAATTACAATGATAATGAACTCAGATGACATAACGCTATTACTAAATATTTTTCACCTTTTACGTGGAGCAAAGTTATTCATCTGAAATTTTGAAAAATGGTGCCTGAAAGGATTTGTAACTAATTTGTTGCTTTATTTCTATGTAATTAATAATTATTTTTGCAATTCTGCTATAATTAATGAACTGCTATTGAAAAAAAAATAAAAAAAAATGGACCATCGCTAATATAGAGTATCCTTTGTGCAAAATTTTTCAAAATGTGCAATATGATGTTAAATATATGATACTAATTGGAAGATATTTTTAAGATTGATGATGATCAATAAAATCTCTAATGTGGCATTATTTGGGTTTCTTCGAAGCATATGATTGAGGAAGAGAGTAGGTGATGCTTCTCGGCATTGAAACTGAATCAAGCTACTTGATTCTTGGGTCTAGTTCACTGGAGATACTTCGGTTGAAATAGGCTCGGGTATTTTGGAGTTTGTGAAATTTCTGAAGGTTGGTTTGATAAGCTAAAAATAAGAATATATATAGAAAATGGTGCAGCTAGTTGAGCTTGACACACTTTACGATTGTTAAATCTCTTGTAGGTTTATCTCCTTAAAAAATTAAACTGAGCTGCTCAATATCAAAGCTCATAGCAGAGTATGAACAGCCAACTGTTTGGCTCATGTGCACCTCTAGGCTCTGCCTAACGTTCTTTTTTGGTTACCCCTAAGACAAACTATTTCAGGGGATTTAAATTCTGAAATGAAATACACTATTTGGTATGACAGTTTGTTTTGAGGTTCCGAGGTAGTGACTGTCCAATTCCTTGTTAATGAATTTATTTTAGGCTGTATAGTGCCTCCACTTCTGCCCACTGATTAAAATTCTTGTGTGTTGCATTTCCACTTTGCTTTATGGCATTTTATTTTATTTTGATGTTCATATATTTTCATTTGTCTCACCGATCTGGAGTACTTTCTCAAGGGCTTCACTATATATTTGCTTTATACTAGTACACGTACCTAGATGCTTTATTCGTTTTTTCATTTTTTGGGTGGTGGACGGCCCTTTGGGGACTGGCTGCATTCAAAGAAACGTCATTTTTAATAGGAGTGCTCGACTTCTCAAGGTGGAAGTGTCACTTTTCTGACTAAATGGAGAGGAGATTCCTATGTTTGCTTTACTACCGAAGGCTTGACTAATCGCGTCAAAGAAGATTTTCTAATACCATAACCTTATTTCTTGCTTATCTTGGTTTCTTTTGGCAGGTATTTGATAGCCTCACATACAACAGACTATCAACATCCTATGCTCTTCTTCAACACGTTAGCAGTTTTCATTCTGGTTGTTGCCAAGTTCCCACAAATGCATAAAGTTCGTATATTTGGCATCAATGCCGATCAATGATCTGATATCCATTAGATATTCCAGTGCAGTTTTAGCGTCATCTACAATATTTACATCTTTATGGTATGCTGAATAGTTTTCGCATGAACCCTCCTTGTACAAGTTGAATTTGATAATTATGCATAAGCAACAAAAATTTTCTCATTTCTGATTGTATACGATAAATGCAGAAACTTATGTAGCTATTTTTCTACAAACATTAGAACTGGATGTTTATATCTATTTAGTTTATTGGCGTGAAATTATTCAACTAGCTGACTTAGAACATGTTTGGATGTTCTTAACCTTAAAGGTGGTTTCTTCCGATGTTGCCTATAAAGAGCAGGGGCGGAGCCAGGATAAAAATTCAGTGCGGGCACAAATTTTATTGACACCGAACGTTGAGTTTTTATAGGGCAATACTATTTTCAATTTAATTCACAATTTCACAATATCACAGGGCAATACTAATTCCAGAATTCCCACTTCACAGTGCAATTTCACAATTTCTATTTTCTCACTAGTTATTTCACAATTCACAGCACAATTCACAATTTCACATGATATACTCATCCAAATCTTAACAGTTTGATATGGAATTTGAAAAATGACACTATACCTCTAGAGTGGAAGCACATTCATAATCACCAGATTCACCACCATGTTCCCAAGTAGCAGTAGTTGCATCAAAACTTCCCGTCACTAACAATTTACCAAATGTAGATGCCTGCAGGCTGTAAGAACATGTACTTAGAGTAAGAGTCACATAGAAAATGAAGTAACCAACATTAATTGAAAAAAGAATCTAGAAATGTGGATTTATTTGAGTACAAAATTGCAATTCTCTTGACAAGCTTTACATTTTTTAAACAAGACAATATAATGTACTACATGTTTAAGGACGATGAAACACACCAGGGCTAATTGTGAAAGTTTAACCCAATGATACTCACCAAGACAAAATTGCAATTCTCCCAAATTCAAAAGCTTTCCTAATTTTCACTACCCCATAGACACAAAATTTCAACGCCAACTCCTCGTTCTCTTTGCTCTAATTCTCACAGCTTCTTCAATCTTAGGACTCTCTTCCTTGAGGTTGAATGCCGAAAATCTCATTCGCAAAACCCACCAAACAACCCTTTCACCCTCTCCATTTTGAAAGTCTACCAGATTCTGCCCGTAGCAAAATCTACCAAACAACCCCAAACTAGCTCTGAAAGCTTTCTTAAAGTTGCAGATTGAGAATACGTTAGAGCAAATCTACCAGTTCGCTGACTAGGTCATCAGTGGCAAGGTCAACAAACAAGGAAGAAAAGGCAGGGGAGGGGGAGGAGGAGGAGGAGGCGGAGGCGGAGACAGCATCGGGAGTAGGTGGCGAACGAGGAGGCAGAGTGGATCTGTGGATGGATGAAATCGAATGGATTGGATGTTAAACTTCAAATGGTTAATGTATCGGGTAAATTAATGGGCTTCACTTCTTGCTGGACTAGGACATTTGGAGAGTTAAAATAAAATAATAATAATAATAATAATAATAATAATAAATCTGGGCCTACGTGATTGGTGGCCCAAAGGTTCAGTGCGGGCATTTACTTGCACTGGACCTCATTGGGCTCCGCCCCTAATAAAGAGCAATGATATTTAGTCTTACTAGGGTTGCAACTTAAGTCTAGGTTGCGCTAATGTAGTATTAATTGATATATAGAATTAAATAATTCATTTAATTCCATATTTTATTTAACCTATTATTTAGTGCTATTTAGACTGGGATTGTTACCACAGTGGGGTTACATAGCATTACTCCTTATAAAAACAGCGTTGAGTTGCTTTTAAGTTTGTCCTTTGAAAACCATGATTGACAATTAAGTAACTTAAACTCCCGTTTTGCCCCATTAATTTTTGTTATAATAGAAGGAATAGTTTTTTTTTTTTTTTTTTTTTTTTTTTGAAAAATGGTTGTAAAAGAATGAAAGGTCTTCGATTTACGTGTAATATTATTTTATTGAAAATTGTGCGGTTGAAAATAAGAGAGTAAAAATTTTAATTTAATTTGATGAGATTTAATGAGGAGCCAAATGAGTGCTAAAAGTAAGTTTGACTACAAAACATGCTCAAGCAGATGGAGAAGATACAATCAATATTTTTTTCTTTCTTTTTTTTTTTTTTTGTTGGTAAGAACTATAGAAATCCACTCATGGTATGAGAAGTACGTGAGCAGGCGGTGGGTTAGACGTATTTTGCAACTGAATCTGGCACTAGTACTGAAGTGTGAAATCTGACCTTAGAATGGGTGAGAACAGATTATGATGGCAGGGAGTGTGGTGAGTGACAAATCTGGTAATGGTTGGTTGGTGCACATTGAGTGCAGTTGCATTGTCGTTTAATGTCTACTTTCTATAACAGTTACCAGTTTAGCTTAGAAACGACAAAACAACATGCTTTCAAATCGCCAAAGACTATATAGACTTGATGATTAAGATAATGGAAAAAATTTATCCTGTAAATAGATTTGAAATGAAGATTTGTCACCCGCTCAACTGTTTAGGAGCCAAAATTATATGGACAATAAATAATGTTAGAAAATAGTGAAAAATTAGGCTCAGTCTTTTCAACCTTTCAGCTAGGTGGTTTTGGTCCTTTAGTTTTAAAAAGGGGTTCTAAGCCCCTTGCCTATTTAAATTTGTGAATTTTTGATCCTTGCATAATAGAATCTGTCAATGTGGACGTAAAAATTATGAACAACTTTCATGTAACTTAAAACTTGATGTGAAGAGGATTGACGGTATTTTCCTTTGGCTTTGAGTCACGTGAAATTTACATGTGATTTAAATTTCCATATTGACAGCATTTGTTATGCGGAGACCTGACTCAAATCCCAAAATGAAAGGAGTAGCTCACATTTCCTATATGTTTTGATCTTTGTTCCTTATTTGTGAAAGGTCTAATCGATGGGGGAAAAAAAGGAAAAGAAAAATTCATGTTCAAGTCTTATTACCAAGTGTGAGCAGCAACATTTATATGAAATTGAATGTTCCACTTCATTTGCCATAGCTACTTTCATCTTTGTATACGTTCAGATAAAGGCCTATGATATAGGTTGAATGACAGGAAGTGAGACTGGAGGTATTTAAATAGGTTAGAGTTCAAGAACACTACTTTTGAAGGTTGTGAATCCAAAACTACACTAATTAGAAAGTTAGGATACTTAATCCTAATTTTTGCTAAAATGGAAATGGTACACAAGGACAGTATTGGCTTGCTTGGCACATTATCTAAATAATTGGATATGTATCGATTCCGATAATTTAAACTTTTAGATGATGAGGTTTAAAATTTGTGAGAAAATTCCTAAGACATGTGAAGTATGGAACTCATTAATCTTTTTCGCACTTTAATTGACAAGTACGTGTATTATTTATTTATGTATGGGTCTCAATTAATAGTGAGTCTCGATTATTTATTGCACATGTTAATTAAATAGTGACAGAAAATACTAATTACTTCCTATTCTAAGAATACTAAAAAAATTTCTTTAATGTGATATATCTTGGAAAAAGATTTAACCTTTGTCTCTTTTTAATTCGGAAATGCTTAAGTCGACACCACTTGAAGTGACTCCCTCTCTAAACCTAAAACCTCGTACAAGCCAGCTCTACCCACCATTGCTTCTTTATTTTATTAAGGATTTTATATTTTAAAATATATAACTTCCACCACTCATATTTGGTGTTCCATTTTCAGCTTTCTAGCTTCCATTTTCCAAATAAATCAAGAGATCGAAAAATATATTTATTCAAAATCATGACATTTCAGATCCCAAACTAATCAAGCCACGATATGTCGAACATCAAATATGTCCGTCCATCCACTCTATTCCTCTAAGATCCAGTAAATATTTGGAGTGTCGTGAATTGAATAATTAAATATTCAAATAATCGTAAAGGGAACGAAATGTCATACTAGTGGATAAATTACCTTCCCACTGCAAAATTCTAAATTTGTCCACTAAAATAGAACTTTTATATAATGTTGGTGCTATATGTATGGCCCTGTAATTAAGCACAAGGGACTCAGTGGTTTACAGCAAAGAACAGGAAATCATGTACATGAACAAATATTGGGGTTTAGATCTAAATGGATTTTTGAATATTAAGTGGGGTGTGGGTGGGTTGGGATGGAAATAATCATAGAGTGCACTAGCCTAGGGGAATGTTTGTGGGACCCAAGAATGACTAAAACCAGTGGAGTTTGTCAGGTCTTTCTCAATATAAAGAGAGAAAAATATGAATGGGCATGGCATGGGAGACCTAATCATCACCTTATAGAAAATAACCCAAGAAAAAGACTACTAGTACATTTTGTAAATATGGCAATGTGATTCAATTGATTTAGTCTTCACAGTGAGATTAGGTAAATCTTTTCCATTATTCATTGAATTGGTCTTCAAACTGTTAATTTGAATACACAAGCCGGATTAGGTAAGAGCTGTCCCAAATACACCTTTTGGTAAGGTAAGCTAGATAGTATACTAAACGACGGTTATTAAACGTGCCTTGTGTATGTAGAACTAAAACCAGTGTAGTTCTGAAACGAACCGGGAAATGTATACCCTAGTTCCTTCATCTCCTTCCGATGTACTTGCCTCCTAAAGACATCGTCTTGTATTGAAAACTAATACAAGAAATAGGCTATATTTTTCAATCTCCGGATACTGATTATACAAATTATTATGGCTGTGTTTGGCTACCAAAAATCTGGGCTAGCTTAAATTCTTCAACATCTTGTCTTCTATCAGTAAACAGTATCCCAAATAGTACCTTAAACTGAAGCCTATACCTAAACAAACTTCAAACTCCCATCTGGATCAGACGTTAAAGATAAGTAAAAAGGAGAGGAAAGAAACCATTGTACTGTATGAGTTAGCAGTTTTTTGCAATATCCAAACAAAGTAGCCCAAAATCAAAGCACTAAAAAAAAAACCCAAAAAAAAAAAAAAAAAAAAAAAAGAAAGAAAGAAAAAAAAAAAAAACACTTTCAACGGAAAAACTAATTGAGTCAATATAATTATAGCATCTACATCATCAAATCAACCAAAAGAAACATGAAAAAAATGAAATGGAAAGAAAAAATCAAGAACTGAAACAAGGGTTTTCACTTTTCATTCATGGATTCAAAGAGAAAGGGGTCTAACAACATAACTACACATTACAATCTTCATCCTCTCCTACCCAATTATTCTAAAAACTCATTCT